CCTATATCTATTAGGAGAAGGGAATCACTATCAATGTTCAAAAATGACCTAAGATGCTACTGTTTTGCTGTCGATAGCAGTGATTTAAAGTGATTGTTACTTAATTTTAGTTAGCACTTAGTTTTAACATGTAGCATTTTACCATACTTGTTTTATGATATTGCCTGTAATTATGTATACTTTACTTTTGTCCTCTATTTCATATATATAGTTTCTGGTGGCCTTTATCTTTAGGGAAGTTCATTCCTGTTGCTAGGTCTTCCATCAGCTATTAATTATATGTTTGTATGTACATATATTTATTTTCTGTAAATTGATTAAAGTAAAGTAAAGTAAAATGACCTAAAATGACCTAAAATGACCTAGGACAACCTTGAGTGACTTTAAAAATGACCTAAAACAACCTAAAATGACCCTAAGTGATTTCTAAAATGTCCTAAAACGACCTAAAATGACCTTGAGTTTGTGGCACCAACAAAATCTAGATTGGACTGGATTGAATCACAGATTGGATCTCAGACCGGATCACGGATTGAATCATGTAAAATAAAATTTTTGTGCAAGAAGCAGCAATAAAGTCTGCATGACAAAATAGAGCATAGGCCCCTTTGGGAGTTTTTTGGCCCAAAAACCCCATGTAGTCACTTTCACAGCTTCACAGCTGTGTCAAGGGGTGTTGTGTAGTGCCACCATGGATGAAGGCAAGAAAAAGGTATGTATCATTTAATCAGTCAGTTAAGAAATACGTGACACAATCCGCAGTTGCTTCTTAAGGTCCTTAACCTTCTTCCATTGCTGATGCGTGAGGCACATTGGAAGCCATAGTTTGCAAACTGATCAACCTAAGTGCTTCACATTGCAAGGTCAAAGTCTCGAGTGCTATTCAAGACATAAGACCTTCTACGAATCCCGACAATATTCAACCAATGAGAAGTTATCTTCCTGACATTTGGTTTGTCACGCATTCCTCTCAATGACATTTGCATTTTGCAGCTGTTCAAGATCGGTGGAGGCGCTTAATTGCCCCTCATGGAAAACTCATTTGAATTTTTGATGAAAACCAAAAACCACATAAAATCTGCAAACTGAAATGAACAATCCAATCCAATCCGGTTTGATGCAATCCAGAGTTTGAGTTTGCGATCCAGTTAGGTTATTTTAGGTCATTTTAGAAATCACTTATGGTCATTTTAGGTCATTCCTTGTTTTAGTAACTGCCATCAGAACATACCAAATCCTTGCTCTATATGAACATCGGTAGTTGTGAAGAAGAGCTCCCAAAAAACCTGCCAGCCGACTGTCGGTCAACTGTGAGAATAGGTGTGGCGTCTGCCACGGCGACAGTAGGCAATGTTCGTGTAATGAACGCCTGCCTCAGAAAAGAAAAAAGACATCAAAGTCAACAGCCTGCAGATACATCGCAAGATGATCTAAAGAAAAAGTACAAGTCACTGCAAAAGGACTACAAAAGAGTCGGTCAGGCCTTCCAGAACCAGCAGGAACAGAACCAGGAGCTGACGACGTTGCTAGAGGAATGCGAGAAAGAGGCTGAAGAGCTAGCCAACCTTGTGCGGAACAAGGACGAGGTCGTTGAAAAACCTTAAGAGGCGTTTATTAAATGCAAAGAAGGTCATCGCAGAACTCCGAGCGGAGGTGCGACACAGAGACCAACCCACGCCATAAGAAGACCCACCCGCATCACAACAGCAACACCAGCAGGTGGCAGACATTCGCGTCAGCACCCACAGCCTGGCCAACATGCACGAACGATATGACCAGGTTCTCCAGACAATGAAAGAGAACAGATGCAGTATGGCCTGTGCCTTCCGTCTTGCAAGCTGTCCTCAGAGCACACTAAGAGACTTTGTGGCAATAGCAGAACTGAAAAAGGTTGACTCGAGGGAACTGGACCTCGTCCTCCGCGACCAAGAAGTTAAATCAGTGCGAGATCTGGAAGTTGTCTGTCGCAAAAGACTTCGGCGCTACATCCCGGTCATGAGCAACATGAGGAGAGAGGGGCAGCTGTTGCCAATGAAGTTCAAGGCATGATTCTACGAGTGAAGTATCTTGTATATTTCACCACTCACAAAACGGCTCCTTTAGGAGCCACCAAATCTATGAAAGGCTATTCTTGTCAATGTATTACACATGTTGGATGTTGTATCAAGCGAAAACCAAGAGAAAACATTAAGGTTTGTGTTAACGTTTTACTGACAAGCTACCGACAGGTTACCGACACATTACCAACAGTCAGCCGACTGTTGGCCGACAGGTAGCCTATATTTTGGGCAAAACCTGTCGGCCGTCAGACGACCAACTGTCAGCCAACTGTGGGCCAACAGTTGACCAACAGTCGGCCAACAGGTTTTTTGGGGAGCTCTTCTTTACAATTACCTGAACATCAGGCAATTTTTTTACTTGCTTGAATTGTATTCCAACAGTCAAATTCCATTTTGCCAAGCTGGACTTTGCTCTATCACATCATTTTCTTGTAAACAACATGCACTTGATCATATATTCTAATGGCATTGTCCAATCCCACTGAAAAAAATTCACATGGAACTAAACGGCACTGTCAGTAAATTTTCCAAGCAATTCTCCTACCTTTTTAACTTTTTCTACAAATAAAATTGGCATTTAGCTACTGTGGACTTAATCCAATCACATGTTAATTCCTTGTAAACAACCTGCATTTTATCACGCATTTCACACACAGGACAAAGTCCAGATAGACAACAACCAATCAAGGAGCACTCTTTAAAATATCATCCTTTTCTATTGTTCAATGTATTTTCACATATTCAAGATCACAGTATATCTTGTTTAGGGTCTATTGGAGATACAACATAGTTTCAGTTTGCCTTTCGTAGTAAAATTACATGGAATTATATTTTGGAAGCAATTTACTGTAGACATATAATTTTGATTGTCTCTCTGCAAGAGGAACAGCAGTAAGTGTAGTCTCTTTTGCAACCATTATTTGATCTCATCACACAATGCGCTCTCCCTCAAATGGGGAATGTATGGTGTTGTGTGACAAAACTAAACAACAGTTGTGAGGGAAGCAACAGTAAGTGTGGCACAAATGCATTATATGCAATGCCAAAAAAATTATTGTTGCATGCTATGCATGCCTATGTTTTATGATATGCCTCAAGTATGCCTGATTGTGTTTGGGTTGTATTTGAGGTAAAGATAAGTCTTCAGTAATATGTAATCTTTCCTAAATGTATTTTTTTAGAAACCCTGGTGGAAAGGCTTGGATTTCTTGCTCGCGAATCAGTAAGGCTAACATACTAAATGTAAAGTTCTGGAACTGTGAATGTACATGTGTGAATATTACAAAAAAAATTTCAATCTAAAGATGCAAGCAAATCAAGACTTTCAATAAATTCTTTAATTACACCCACCTGTTAATAAGGACCATGAATTCTCCTTGTCAAAAACTCCAACTTTGATAATTCTATGGGTATATTTTTAACAAGGTTGTGTTTGAATAGAAACATGCATTTATTTGATAGCCTGTCATAGTCTCCTAAGTAATATCATAGGTTTTCAATCTCCTCCCTTTTTGCTTGTTCAGTTAGTCATTGATAAGTCTGATGAAAAGTAACACTTGACTGGCATTTGGTTCTTAATTGTTTTTTTTTTAATAAGCCATATATCCCTCTTGCATAAGCTCCAGTCTCTTACAAGCTCCTTGTCAAGAAAGTGCCCTAAATATTTTATGGACCACTAGAGGCTTATTTGGGTGCTTAAAGTAAAATACCCAACATTAAAGTTTGATGGTTTGATTAAACATCATCTTTTTGAAATTTATGTTGAAAATCAAACTTTATTAAAAAGTAATCAAAGACATAACTAGAGAACATTCTGTGGAAGCAAGAGATGGTAATTTTTGAAGACCTAAATTATACACAAAACATAATCACAACAAGTATAAAGTTTTCACCCAACGATGTTATTTTTCAGACCAGCCCACAATTTATGGAGAACTTGTCAGACCAAAAAGCATTGAAGAAGATGTAGATAATAACACCATATCTGTTGAGGCCTCAGAAGGATTTTCAGTACAAAATGTCAGCAAGGTAGGAAATCAGCCAAAAGTGTGTTAAGTTTTTTGTGCTTAGTATAATTGCAGTTTTGAAGAAATCTGAATTCATCTTTTCCATTCAATTATCAGACTAGCCTTACTCTGTCATTTCCAGAAGCAAATTGTTCTTCAAAATTTATTTCCCCAAGTGGATCTTTCCAAAATCTTCACAGCAAAAGTGTAAGTGCAGTAGTAGTAAGCAGTAGTAGTAGTAGTAGTCTTGGCTTTCTACGGTGTTTTTTCATGAAGAGTAATTTAGTGTTAATTAACTGAGTTTAAAACATTAATTGGCCACTGTAAAGAGTTTAAATGCAGACATTTCAAGCATTAGTCTTTAAACTCTTTACAGTGGCCAATTTATGTTTTCAACTTAGTTGATAACACTGAATTACCCTGTTATACTCTCCCACTGACACAGCACCACAGTTTCTTTAGAAACTTATCCCCTTTAATCGCTTCTTCATGTACTTTGCTAAATAGTAATAATATACTTTTTCTTGAAATTTGGTGTGATAGGCACTTGTTAATTTTTTTTAAATAATACAAATTGCACCAATGCTGTATTGGCTTGTGCAATTTTGTTGCCTTTGAAAAATTTACTTGTGCTTATTTACAACAAATTGTACTTGAAATCATGTTATTACCTATAGTAATAGTAAGTTTTGCCAACCTTTCTCTGATTTTTTCATTGTTAATCTCTCCTCATTGATTGAGAAGTTCCTGACAACAAAAATTTTGATTATGGCATGAAATTTAGGTGACTTCTGGAATTCTGAGAATTAAATTGTTGCTTTTTGTGGAGAAACAAAAACTGGGGAAATGGAGAAAACCCTATGTCAGGGAAAAGAAACAGCAGCAAACTGAAGCCACATGTTTAACTATGTCTAGAATCAAACTTAACTTAAGCAGAGGAATGACAGTGCTCTTGCCTCTGCTCTGTTTGTAATCCACATAAATTTTTACTTTAACTTAAGTTGGCCTGACATTGATCTACTAATTTTGGCTTTCAGGTTCGATGTATAGATATATCCCCTGGAGGGGGACTAGGTGTGTCCAGTGGAGATGACAGCACTCTTCTTGTCTGGGAAACTTCCACTGGTGTTGTTAGGGTATGGTTTTATTTACAGAAAGTATTACAGGCCTGTAACTCTACACTACAGCACAGGAAGCTACTGGTACTTAATTTTGATAATGGTGTTCATTGTGCAGCCCCTTCAAAAAACACATTATTTCCTTTCTGGTCTCACCTTAAATCTGTGTCTTAACAGATCACATATTAAGATGATGGTGCTTGTGTTGTTTGCAGCATGATCTTCAAGGTCACATTTCAGACATAAATACTTGTAAATTCTTTCCATCTGGAAAAGTTGTTCTCAGTGGTGGTGCTGATTTGCAGCTAAAAATCTGGTCAGCAGAAGATGGAAGTTGTCCTGTGACATTGAAGGGCCATACAGGAGGTATTTCAAGGGCAAGATGTATTGTTCATCTTTTTTATGTTATTATTTTACTGTACTCTAAGTGGGTACTATTTGCTAGTGCTTTATGAAGTCCAGATCCAAAAGATTTCAAGATTCAAGAACAATGTCCAGCCATCTTCAAGTTGACCAAACAAACTTGATCAAACAAATATTTACTTATTGCCAAAACGTTACAATTTTCTGTTCCAGAAGCAATATGGGCCATGCCTTGCAAGACATAGGTCCATCTTCCCTGCTCTTAATTCCAGCTAGGACTGAATTTCTTTCATCCTTTCTGCTTAAAAAACCAGACATTTGACAAAAGTGTGGCTCACTATTGAAACAACTTCTCATTTCTAAAGTGTTGCTTAATATGTGGTCACCATTTCCTCTGTCATTGACAATTTATCTTTAACTGTTACTTGTAATTTGCAGGAGTTGTTGACACAGCTATTGTTGACAGAGGAAGAAATGTTTTATGTAAGTGCAAAAAGGATCTTTGTTTTAAGATCTGATAAATTTTAACTCAATTGTTTGTTATATCGATATAATATAGCCACAGGGTAGTATTAACATATTAACACCAGGTGTGTTATACAAGGTTGACACAGATCTGATAAAAGTACCAGGAAGGCTTCCCAGCTTGCTAGTAGTGATCCCAAAATTCATGATTAAAAAACTGGAAAGTTAAAAAACAAAACTAAATAAATGTGGATAATATGAGATCTTTGTTGACTTGAAGTTGCATAAAGTCATTTAAATTGATGACTTGAAAACTCCACAACTGAGATCAAAATTGGCTGGGTTTTTAAATCCTAATGAAGAACTCAGATTTGCCTTTGTTGCCACACTTTTGAAAAGTGATGATAGAGCTTAAAGTTTACCATGATCTGTAAGAATTTCTTTATCAAGAGGCAACAACCAGCTACTTCCAAAATTTCCACCAACCCTCACCCATGCAAATAATGTGCTCCATGACATGTTCTGTTATTTGTTGGTGTTATTCTAAAAGCATGTTCTAGGGATGGAACTGTACGGCTGTGGGATTGTGGAGAAGCCAAGTGTCTGGCAGTTGTGTCAAGTGGTGACTGTCCTGTGAATTCATGCGCATTGACACAGCTCCAAGGGATGGAAAGTACTCCTGAGTCAGACAACCAATCTAGTAAGAGTGTAGTCTGGTGACATAAATATTATGAAGATATGATAAAACCAAGATGGGCTCTTGGGAATGCCTGTCATGAATGAATTCAATATGTATAGTAGCTCATCAGAAGGTTTTCAGTAGCTCTCCTAAAATGTGAAAGTCTGAGGACTACCTTCTGTCTTGTTCCAGGTTTCATTAAAAATAGGTACCATCTTTGGTCTTTGTTTGTTCAAAAGCCAAGCCTAACATTTTCCATCTATTTGGTTGTTCTCGGTCCATTTACTCAAACTGTCAGAATGATGTTTTTCCTTTGAAATGAGAGCCAAGTAAAATCCCTTTATTTCAGTAAGTTCCGGTTTTGCATTATCTTTTCTGCTGAAGTTTCTGGCCCTCCTCTATACTACACTATACTAAACCATACCATTCTGTACCATACTATACTATATTATAATATACTATGCGATACAATTCTCTACTCTATACTCCTACACACACGCACACATGCACTCTTCAAAATTTAGAGGTGCCTCCTTAAGGGTGTGGAAAGAATTTTTGCTAAACACTCCTATGAAAGGTGAAGTAAAATATCGAAAATTAACCACACTTATCTGGTCATAGAATTCGTAAAACGTAGTTCATTGCAAGCAGTGATTTTTTGTGGTATTATAATTGAAAGACGAAGTGTACTATTTATTCTCTCTTTGTGGTGTTGTACTTTTAAGGTGAGCGAGAGGTTGGGACTGTTGGGAAATTACTTTTACTCGCCCAAGAAGACGGATTTCTTGAGGGTGTGGACGTACGTAACAAGGAAAAGGTACATTGTGGCCTACTTGATGAATTACTTTAATCTTAAATGTTTTTTGGGTCTTGATGAGCTTTTCTGATCGGAGTTAAATACAAAAAGAAAACAAACAAAACAAATTAAAAGGACTTGTGAACGACATGGACAGTGCGAAATACCTCGGAAAGACACGTTTTACCCATACGGTTTTAATATCTACGATTGTTAGGTTTTTCAGGTTAAATGTTCGTCAGCTGTGAACTGTTGTGCATTTTTGTCGGAACACGAAGCTGTCGGTGGAACAGAGGATGGTTCCTTGTGGTGTGTAGACGTTAGATCTCCAAGGTTAGCATTTGGGATAACTCTAAAGAGACCACAAATAGTTAGAGATGGGGTGGTCAGAAAACTCTTGCCACACATGTTTTACTGATTGAGATAGGGAAACTGTGGAAGGTGGGTATAATCTCGGAGAGGTTCTCACCTCTGACGAAGGGCATATGTTCGAAACACCAGCCTTTAAAAATTTGATATGGCAGTTTATCTTCCTCTATCAACTTCCAGTTAAGTAATCAAATGAGGCATTTTAGGAGGAAGGCAGGAGCCTGAAAATAGGCAAACAATCCTGGAATAGGGTTTACAGGCCCGATTTAAAACACATGTTTTGGAAGGTAAAAAAAAAATAGAATAAGTCGCGGGAACGGGATGCACTGAGGTGTATTTTTCATTTACGTTTTCCTTACGATGTTTTTTTTTTTTTTTGAGATTAAGGATTTTGTATTTTATGGAGTTCAAATTAACGTGTGTTGTTTACTTTTCCAGTTCACCAGTTGGCGTGTTTCGCCGTTCATCCTCGCCTATACTTTCTTTATCAACCACTGGTGATCGAGCATTTCTAGCATCTTCGCGTGAGTATTCACTTCTCGTGATCAGTGTGGTATCAGCTGATATCAAACCAGGATCAGGACTTTTACAGCCTGTCTGTTCAAACTGGAAAATAACAGCCCCTAGTCATGTTCTCCTTGAATCCCACTTTGCTTTAGTTCTCAATTTGCCAGCCTACGTGAACGTGTAGCCTCTCCCTGAAGGAGAGACGTTCCCTTCCGTTACTCTTTTGGGGTACGGCTACACGTAGGCTACCAATTTGCTTGCACTTCGTACAATCTAACCCCTCTTCTGCCATGCACATCTTTAAAAAGCTTAGTGGCATTGTAGGTAGAGCTGGTGGCATAGAAGCAGGGTTGAATGTTCCACATTTGACACTGGGGACGATACAATGATTTGCGTGGGGGAATAGACCTATCCAAATCCAACCTAATCGCTTTCAAAATATGCTTTCTATGGAGAACTGAAGATCAACAGACAGACATCCCTCCAGCTTCAGAAAAACTTGTATTTGTGTATTTTGCAGGAGATGGGGCATGTTTTTGTTGGAGTGCGAAACTGTTGAGGCATGGAGGAAGCGAAGAAGTGACGAGCTGGGAGTTGATCGGACCCGATTACGACCCAGTTTACAGTATTTGTCGCTCGGCCAACACAGTGCACTCTGCTTGTCGCGACAAAACCATTAGAAAATATATTCTTAAGAAGTCTGAACTTCCCACCTAAGACTGTGGGTATATGTACAGATATGTCCATTGTAGAAAACCTTTAGCGAAATAGCTTTAAGAGGAACTTTCATCCATCCATGGTGGTACTCCAAGTGCAAACTTGTCGTCTCAGGAGCTATAGCGGTATCTTGCCGATAATCACTTTCGAAGTCGTCTTTGTTGCAGTGGAATTTGTCTAAATCAGTTTTATGCGACCGCAGGCGCCAGATATGAGGTGCCCTCTCCTGTCTTTGGATTTATTTGTTGCCACCCATTTTGAATGTCTGCGTTCCATGTGTTGTCCTTGTGACTTAGTTTCGGTCACAGAAGCTTTGAATGCAATCTTTGCCCTTCAAACACGAGGATCTACTGCAAGATTCCGTTAATTGAACTCACGTGATCCAAGCTTTACATATACACAAGAATCATAGTTCACAACAAAGTTCAATCAAATGTTCACCAACCTCTATTGAAACTAACGCGTGCTCAGTGGTCTTTGACTTAATCCTAACGATACAGGCGAAGGAAAAGTTTTTATTTTTTACTTTCCCCAGTTGGTGGTTCGCAAATACACGTGGTTTGTCGCCCTTTCTCTTTCTGCTAGCGGTGCTAGAACATGAAAAGATCCTTCATCGGCAGCACTTGTACTCTAGAACTCGGCATCATTCAGGATATGAATTTTTCTTGGCGCGGTGAGGCCTGAGTTGCAACTTTCAAACAAGGTTCTGAGTTAACACGCTTACCGCCCGATCTCAATTCTTTCTCAGAACTGCATCGGCTTTTGTGTAGTGCATCCAAACACCTCTGCAGGCCTCCGGCGAAGAGAGCAGTTCATACCCTTTTGATGCTGAAAAAGTATGACTCGTGTATTGTATTGTCCCGCCCTCTAGTACTATAAGAGCATTTTTTGATAACAGATCTACCCTTTTTCCCCTAGAAGTTACATAGTAAGAATTAGTTTTACGTCAGCTGTGCGTTCATCGAGATATGAAGCACTTGGAAAGCTTGGAGAGCACGAAAGATGCGCAAGAGTTGCTTGAGGCGTAGCCGAGAGTAACTCTAGCTTCTTGAGTTCACTTGGGAAGTTTGGAGGGCACTCAAGAAGCAAGAGTTGCTCTCGGCTACGCCTCGAGCAACTCTTACACATCTTTCGTGCTCTCCAAACTTCCCGCGTGCTTCATATCTCGATGAACGCACACTGACGTATGAATCAATTGTTAATTTGTCGGTAAAATTCCTGGGAGTAGCTCTTATTCTTGTGAAGCCTTGAACTCAAGTGTGATCCCTACTGAGCAAGCGTTACAGCAAATCAATCGTAGGATTTCTTCTTGGAGTCTTGTGCATATTTATCGTCAATGTCGCTCTTAGCCGATCGCAAGTTGTTTTTGGGAGCCGTGGGGGTCGCATTGACTTCTGCAGTGGCCGGGTTTGGTGTTAGTCGGATATTTAACATCGAAATAAAAGCCTCTTTAAAATCAGCGAAGAGAACAATCCAGTCAGCAAATATGTAACAGAACATGGAATCCGCGAACCATCAGCGCTTACCAGCTTGAGAAAGGTTAGAATCAACCGTATAGCTCATTAGCAGGTAATTTAGTGTAAACAACTGAGTTGAAAACGTAAATTGGCCACCATAAAGGGTAAAAAAGCTGACGTTTCGAGCGTTAGCCCTTCGTCAGAGCGATTGGAGGAATTGTGGGTTGTGTGTGGGTTTATATGCAGAAAGTGGAGCTCCACTATTGGTGGGAATATGGTGACGAGAAAACAGCTGGAAATAAGTTCGGTGGGACAACTTCAGGCAGAAACGATGGTCGACCTGGGTGGTTAGTTTTGTGGATTTGAGATAAAAAGTAAATACACGAAGTTCTGGGAGTGGTGATGGTGAGATTTTTAGCAGTGGCCGGCAATTCTTGTTAGCTAGAAGATCGTTAATCCTATTTTTGATAATGTTTTGGTTAATTAAAGTGAGATCTTTGTCGACTTTGGCATAAAAGGAGGTGTAAAGCTTCTTTTGATACTTGTTGTAGTCATCTTTACATCCATCACACGTCAAGAACTCCATACCTTTTTCACAGTTTCTCAGACTTCGTCGTTTCCGTAGTGACGACTCAGATTTTTCCGAAAAATCAGAGGCAATGTGCCAGTTTTTCGATAAACGTGGCTATCTGTTTCTGTCAATCAAGCGGGCCACCACCGTGCCCAACAAATTGATCGACAGCCAGCACTGCAAACGGCTGAAGAGGAAAACACTGACCGCATTCCATTCACTCTTAAATTTCACCCTCACAACCACGCGGTTAAATCTCTCTTTTTTAAAAACTTCAAATTACTCCAAAACGATTCTGAGACTGGCATTACCTTTTCGCAACCCCCACTTATTTCATTCAAACGTGACAAAAACATAGGCAACTTTTTGGTCAGAAGTTCGTTTCAAACCAATGACCAGTCTGGAACTTTCAAATACGCTCGCTCACGATGCAAAACTTGTCCTTTCATTTATAACATAAAAGAAAATATCGGGACCCAAGAAATCCATTAAGACCACTGATCACTTTACGTGTACCTCCGCCAAAGCTATTTACTGCATAACTTGCACTTGTTGCAATAAGTCATACATTGGCCAAACAGGAAGACGACTAGGTGACCGAGTCCGAGAACACCTTCGCAACGTGGAAGTAAATGACAACGACGCATCCAAACCAGTCACTAGACACTTTAATCTCCCTAATCATTCAAAACAGCACATGGCAGTTTGCGGCCTTTCCTTACATCTAGGCAGTTCGGAAAGCCGCAAAACACTAGAACAAAATTTATCTTCCAAATCGGCACCCTTAATCCCCACGGAATCAACGAGCGCTTTTCATTCAACTTATTTAATTTCTGTTTTCTCGTCACCATATTCCCATCAATAGCGTAGCTCCACTTTCTGCATATAGACCCACACACAACCCACAATTCCTCCAATCGCT